CACCAGTGCCGTGTAAGTGATGACCATGTCGCTGAGCGCCACCATGATGTTGTTGCGCACCACGGGCGACGGGGAGCGCCCCAGCTCCTGGGGGGGACAGCAAGGCGCAGCGGTAAACACAACGATCCGCGTGCTCGCATGCCGCGCTTCTTGCGCGTTGTGAGGCAAACCTCTGGTTTTCTTGCATGACAAGACTGCGAGCCTCTCGCCCGTCGGCCCCGGGACCCTGCCTGCTGACCAAACCCCATGTGGCCTTTCTGCGAACCTCGTGGGCGGTCGGCCCGGACCGGCCCCGATCGCCGCCCTCACCGCCGGACGCCTCGGCCCCTGGCCTCTGCACACCGTTGAAAGCCCCTGGCCCCAACCATATCCTGGTCACCCAAATATTATGGTTACCCCGCCCGTCTCCGCACCTGTACGAACAGGGGCACCAGCCTCTTGGCCAGCGGCTCGTCCACCAGGCACACCTTGCCCAGGCTGATCCACGCGTGACCCTGCAGCGAAACAGGCACGTCCACACCGACCACGCCTGCGCCCGCGGCGGCGCCACTGCCCTCCTCCCCGGCCTCGCCGCCAGGCGCCGGCACGCCGGCATCCACCATGGCCGCGTCGTCGTCGCAGCCGGCCGCCGCGGCGGCCATGCCGGGCAGCAGCCTGGGCGCGGTGAGCGCCTGCAGCAGCACCGTCAGCCCGCCCGGCGGCCGCGCGACGCGCAGCAGCGCGAGCTCGCCCGCAGCAAACACGGCGGCCGCCGCGCGGCGCCGCGCGCGCGCCGCGGCCGCCCCCGGCTGGTGGGGGTTCTGCTGGGCCGCGGCGCCGCCGACGTACTGATGCAGCAGCTCGTGCACCGCCGCGTACGCCTGGCGGCACCACTGCTCGGGCGCGCCGACGCCGGGGGCGGGGGCGCCGCCGGAGGTGAGCTTCGAGAGGGCCGCGATGTGGGCGGCCGCGGCGGCGGGCGGGAGGTTGAAGGCGAGGATGGCCTGCGGGGCGCGGCGGGGCGGAGTCAGGGTTGGCGCGGGTGCATCGTACTGTCGCTTTGGGCATTTTCAATTCCCAGGCGAAGGCCCACAACAGCGCATGGGCGGACAGAATATGCTGTGTGTTCCGGTACGCGCTGTTGCTAACATCACACAGGGGCGTTGCGTAGGATTGTGAGCCGCGCCTGACCTGCAGCAGCTGCGAGGCCAGCGCGGCGCCCTGCGCCGGCGGGAAGCTCTCGGCCGCCGCCGAGATGACGAGAAGCAGCAGTGCGCCTTCCTCCGCCAGCGCGCCCGCGGCGCCGGAGCCCTGCGCGCGGGCCGGGGCGCGCGTCAGCGCGAGCGGCGGCGTCGGGCGCGCCTCAACGGCTGCCTCATGCGGTCAGCAGAGCGCAGCACCCCGCCAGCCGCCGAAAACGCGCGATGCGCTATATGGGGGTGAGGTGACTCACCTCGCCTTCATCGCCGCCGCCGCCGTCCTCGCCATGGTGCGCGGCCGCCGCCGCGGCCCTCTGCAGCTCGCCCCACCGCTGCTGCAGGAACTGCCAGGAGGGCGCGGCGGGCTGCTGGGCAGCGACCTCCCTGAGCAGCGCCCACGCACCCAGGGCCTCGGGGGAGCCGGAGGGGACGCCTTCGCGGGGGCGCACGGCGGGCGCAGGAGGGGCGGCGGGAAAGGCGGTTGGGTTTGGGGGTTTTGGAGTTATGCCTGTCATGAGATTGGCCCGGGCCTACGCAAAAGCTGGGGTGTGTGCTAGACCATTGGTTGAGCCCCACGAACGACGCTGGTTTGGGAGCCAAATCGTAGACGTTGACACCATGAAGCCTTGAGCCGCCGCCGCCCCGCCGCGCTCACCGGCAACGAACGCCTCCAGGCCCCTGGCCACCTTCTTGCCGGCCAGCTTGCCCTTGACATTCAGCGCCGCGCACACCCTCCCCAGGCACGCGCCGGCCGCGCGGCCGACGCCGGCGACGGCGGCCAGCAGCGGCCGCAGCTCCGTGGCTGCGGCCGCAGACGCCCCCGCGCCCTCGCCCGCCGCGTCCTCCCCGTCGGGCGCGGCGCCCGCCGCGGTTCCGGCGGCGGCGCGGTCCAGCAGCAGGGACTGCACCCACTCGAGCACCGACTCCTGGATGCTCGACTCCGGGTCGCGCACGAGGGGCAGCGCGGAGCGCACCCATGCGGCGCACAGCGTGGGCTCGAGCGGCAGCAGCTCCACGAGGCGGCTGAGCGCCACCAGGGCGGCCTTGCGCACGCTCACCTGCTCGTTGGGGAATGGGACGCACAACAACCCGTTGAATTATCTCATCTGGTTGAAAATCCGCTCAAGCACGCGCACACACGCTGACACACATACACAGGCACACACACACATGCATATGCTCATGCACACACACACACACACACGCACACGCACACGCACATACACACGCAAGCATGGGTCCATGCCACGGCAACTTCCCAAGACACCAAAGCCCACCAGGGGGTCCATCGTGGCGGCCTCCAGCAGCACGAGGTCCTGGCTGCCCGGCAGCTGCCGCGGGTACCCCTGCCACCCCGCGCGCATCGTGACCGCCTCCACCAGCAGCTGCAGCGCGCCCTTGCGCACGGCGGCCTTGGGGTCGGCACAGCGGCGGTGCACCAGGGAGAGCAGGGGGCCGAGGTCCTGGGGGGTGGCGCGGCGGGGCGGGCGCGGCCGTAATAGGGGAGTGGGGCGAGATCAGAGGGTGGGCTGGGGCCCTGATGCGACGATTGACCTCTCAGCCCACGATTGCAATCCTGTCGGGCTTTGAGGACGCTTTTTGGTTCATAACAAGCTGATATTTGTGACTGCTGTTTGCGGGCGTCGTGGGCATGATAACTCAGGGCGGGGATGCAGCTGCCTCAGGGCGGGGATGCAGCTGCCAGAGGGTCTCGGGCGTGCGGCGCGGCTGTGGGAGGGGGGGGAGAGCGGGCGGCTCACCGACTGCAGGCGTCGTGGAATGAACGCCTCAAAAGCCACGGCCGCCGCGGCGG